AAAAAAAAGCACAAAAAACCACGGGGATTTGGACAATTTTTTTGAAAATTTGGGGTGGGGAGCCGGGAGCGACGAGGTGGGGAGCCGGGAGCGACAAGGTGAGGAGCCGGGAGCGATGGGTGGGGAGCCGGAAGCCAGGGTGGAGCAGGGAGCCAGAGCCAATTTGGACTTGGCTCTCATCCTGCAACCAGTGTAATCACAATCTCCCTTCCTTTCTTTCTTTCCTCTTTCCTTTGGCTGTGAGAGCACGCAATCCTGGCCACCTGCTACCGTTCCAGTCTTGAGCCATCATATCATAATTTGAATTGCCACTTGAGATTGACAAATTAGTGAAGGGATTGGGATGATACTGGTTGTTGTTGGTTTGCAATTATGTTCAGATTTGTGTTCTTTTGAGTTAACCCGCCCACTACTCCAATCATTTTGCGTTTCCTAGACCAGAAATTACAATCCAATTTCCTTTAATGACTTTGAATATGATTATTGTTTTTGGAGGTATGGTTTAAGGGCCCTGACCCTTTACGACTGTTACTGTGGGGGGGCAGGGCCCAATATATATACCCCTTCGTACCACTGCTACTCTCCTTTGGTCGCTACCTCTACCTCTCTCTCTCTCTCTCGCTCTGTTTGTCTACACTACTGAGGCTGGCCGAACTCAGAGCTAGAAGTCTCAAATTCTACCTGTCTTAAACTTCACTTGCACTGCAACCGATCTATTTGGGACCGCGAACTCGAAAAATCTTACAAGGTGTTTTTCATTTGACATATCGGCCTCGCGAATCCTTACCAACAAGAACGCATTCTTGAAAAAACAGTAGGGATGTTTTGCGAGACTTGAGATGTTATGACTGAGGTCGCTGGTCGCAAGATCGGCCCTCACCAAGGACTTTCCTCTTGTGGGAACATCCGGGTGATTAACTAATGAATCGGTTTACTTTTAATTCTACTAGCTTCTTGTTACTACTAGTAAGGCACTTGTTACTAGAAGCGATGCACTTGTTCCTAAGACGGGAAAACTGGACGGAGACATTTGGCGTGTAAGAACGGTGGAGCACTTGAAAGCCGTTGGTATGCAGTATGGAGCAGTATGGAGCTCAGAAGCAAATTTGCCTCACAGCTTTTTTGGGTGAAGCAGGGTGAAGGAGGTTGTCTCAGCTTTCTGCCTGAAGTATAGTGAAAGGTAGGATTGATTTGTTTGCAGGAGGAGCAGAAAGTTGTGAATGAGTGGCGAGAACGTGACGAGGCAAGGGACTTGCGGAAGTCCTGACCTTTTTGGAACGATCAAGATCAGCTGGTGGTAACAAGTGCCACGCTACTAGTAACAAGTGCCTTACTAGTAGTAACAAGTGCATCGCTACTAGTAACAAGTGCCCTACTAGTAGTAACAAGAAGCTACTAGGGGCTCCTGGCATCGCTACTAGGAGCAAAGGACGCTATTAGTAGCTCTTAGGTTGGAGTCCATCGCCAGGTAGGCCATCGCTAGTAGGTAGGTTGCTATAGTAGTAGGCTTACGTATTGGGGCTCTTGTTGTGTTGCGCCGGCCGGGCCAGCCTGGCACCGAGTGCAAAGACGCAGTCAATGCATCGAAGCATCTGAATAATAGTGCTGGTTTTTCTTGCGTGTGCAGTAAAAGCCCTGTTCTTAACCGCATTTCCTTCCAAAGCACTATCTGCTTGCAAAGCACTTGTTTTTCCACAGATGATCCTACAGATGGTACAATCGCTTGCCAGTTGCATGTGCAGTTCAACCAGGCCCCTCATAGAATTGAGTGTGTCTCCCAATAAAGCTGTACTTGTAGGTTGCATACCCAACAGCAGCTTGTAAGCTCATGTTGAAGCCGCGTTTCATGTTGAAACCTTGTCCCGTGAAAGCTTGGCTTGTCCCGTTTCTGGCGATACCCCGCTACGCAACGACATTGAGGTCCAGACTCCCTGAAAACCAGGATTAAGTGGACATGCATATGCTGCATCTGTTACTAGTAGCATCCTTGCTACTAGTAGTAATGCTAGGAGCTACTACTTGCTTCTTGCTACTAGTAAGGTCTGTGCTGCTAGTGTATGCTTGCTTCCCCTGCGCAGGTGATGACACTAGAAGAAGCCAAGAAAAAGGCAAGGTGGCATCGGCATCAAACTGGTGTCATCATGACAGCTTTTACGCTTCAAAACACTCGGTGCCTACTTTCTCCAGGAGAAAAGTGCAATCCAGAACTCATCGGATCTTGTGCATATATATATATATATATTCGGTTTGTGCAGTTTGTTCACATGTGGACACTGTTTGCGGTTAGTTGTGCCGAAATCATCCTTTCCGTGCGATATTGAATCTGTACAAGACTCATGGTGAAATGCATGGTGAGTTGTTTTTTCCAAATATATACTCTTTGGGTTGTTGGCTTCAAAGGTCATTCGCTGTTTATGCAATGCCCAAATGCCTTGATTTGCAACACTTTCTTCCGCGCATGTGAGGCCACAGGAAAGTTTGCAATTCCTCCAGAGGAGTTGATTCAGCGTGCAATGCTGTACTTGGCAAAGAACCAGTACCTCGACTGCTGGAGCAAGAAGCTACTAGGGGCTCCTGGCATCGCTACTAGGAGCAAGGACGCTACTAGGGGCTCCTGGCCTTACTACTAGGAGCAAGAAGCTACTAGGAAAAAAGGTCCAATGGTATTTTTACTACAAGCAGCCAGCCTCGGCGAATCAGCCGGTAGTAAGTTGTGCTCGTGTTCGTCGTAGTGAGGGAGGCCATTGCTGTTTGGTTTTAAGTATAAAATGCTGAATTCGGTTGTTTTTCCTTTGGAAAAGTCTGGAGGTATGGAGTTGAGGATCCCAACGATTTGGCCGACGATTTCCTCTTCGTGGGACAGGACGGGACGGATGTGTTCAGTCTCTTCAGTTTTGCAGTGGGATTGGAAGGCATTCAACCTCAGACTCCTGCAGCTTCTTGTTTTTCGCTAGGAGAAATAAGATTTTCCAAGCAGTCACTGAAAATTTTCCAAGCAGTCACTGAAAGCACCGCGCAAATGTCTTTTTCGGACCGCCTTAAGTCTAGGATCCAGGCCTGTTATTCACAGCGCTTCGCGCTCGAAGCCGCCCGCATGGAGTGTGTGCGTTTGTTTGTCTCGGTCTGTCTCGGTGTGTCTGCCTCGGTCGGGCAGGAGGCACGGACGAACACACCCACGATGTCAATAATGCAGTCTTCTCCGAATCCACATCAATTTGTTTATATAATCTTCAAAAGACCTCAAAAAGTCCTTCACAAATACACCATTTTCCAAACATGGAAGGGCCCCCCAAGCTAAAGCATATTAAGCGGATCAATCCAGCAGCTATCTTGCGGTCTGCGCGAGCCTCCACAACGCCTTGGCACCTTCGCGGGCGGATTTATTCAGCGACTGTTGTGCACTCTCCAAAAGCAAGTGTTCTGAGCCTAGACAGTAATAAGAAACTACTAGTAACAAGTGCATCGCTACTAGGAACAGGTGCCTTACTAGTAGTAGTAGTAACAAGCGCATCGCTTCTAGTAACAAGTGCCTTACTAGTAGTAACAATAAAGCTACTAGTAACAAGGGCATTACTACTAGGAGCAAAGGACGCCACTAGGGGCTCCTGGCCTCACTACTACTTGACATAAAAGGTGAGCTTGAGCCGCAACCTGCTTTTACCCCGAGCAGGATTTGGTTGCTTGGGTCTCCATCGCTGCCTGGGAGAGTTCGTTTCGTCGTAACCAGGTGATTGGTCCATTGGAGAAAGATGAGTTCATCAAGACTTTGGGGCAATTTGACTTGAAAGTGGCCTTCCCAGACCAGAAGGCACCGCACATAGATCAAGGAAGGCTTTTGATGCCAAAGATATGTGGAGAGATGTCTGTATATAGAGATATCAGCTGGATGTTTCAATTCTATCTCAAGGTCTGCAGGATACTCGCTCAGTTGTTGAATTGTTTATGGAAGTCAAAGATGCTCTTGCATCGCTACTAGGAACAAGAAGCTACTAGGAGCAAAGGGCATCGCTGCTAGGAGCAAGGACGCTACGAACGGGGCTCCTGGCCTTACTACTAGGAACAAGAGGACGCTACTAGGGGTGCTTGCGCCTCCCACCTTCCCCCTGTGCGGAGGTGCGGTGGCACGACTTCCGTGTCGATCCCTACGAGCCTTCGCGAGTATGGTTCACCGCCCGTTCCATGGGCACGCACTTGGGCTGCAGGTGTAAATCAGCAGGTCATGAGGATCCAGAGTCGACCTTCCCTTGGGGTTCTCGGACCTTTAACACGACGTGTTTTTTGCGTGTTAAACCTTTTGTCCTTACCTTTTATTCTTTAGACCGGGTGTTCTGATTTCTGGTTTTTCTCTATAAGATCTCTTGTCTAGACACTGTTTTTCTGAAAAGCATCTCTGACGCTGAGGTTCTGATCGTTTTTCCAAAGGATCGGGAAACGAGGAAACCCTGCCGCACTCAGTGCGCATGGCAGAATATCTTCCAAAAAACAGTCTTTTGGAGGGTGATGTGCACCGGATAGGCGCATTTGTGGGATCTGCGTGCAGCTGGCCGAAGATACGCAGACGAGACAAGACCGACCTTGCGGCATGGGCTCATCACTGGTGAGTCTGAGTGATGGGAGAACAACAGAAGCACTTGTTCCTAGTAGCTTCTTGTTACTAGTAGATGGAAGCAGGGTTCGGAGGAACATAAACGCTGCCATTGCAAATGTGCTTGGGCTTTGCAAGAAGCACTTGGGATGACCTCCCATGCTTTCTGGCGGCACAAGCACTACAGTGCAACGCAAGGATGAGTTTTGCACACTCGCACGGAGAGGGGGAAATAGCTTGCAAGCAGATGTGGGGCCCTGATGTTGAGTGGCTCAAGACTTGGGCCAGAATGCTTTTCACTTTCAGTGCCTGACTTGACCAGGGTGTTTTTTGACTGGCGTGGTTGAATGTGCATGGCACTGGCCTTCAGTATTCACTCTGGCGGCTTGCCCCAGTTGAAGCGGCCTGTAGGCAGAAGTGACGCTATTTAGAGCACTTAAATGCTTCACACGAAATCCAAGGCTAGATTGCCCAATGCTTCCCACCATAAGTTTCATACCAGCTTTTGCAGTTACTGAGTTACTGGTGCCGAGTACCCCTGCTGCAAGATTTCTACCTAGCCTTGGAACCTCTGAAACGCAAGAAACTGCCTTGTGCTTTTCATGGACCTCAACCTTTTGCGTTCGCTTCATGCATCTCTTTTCACGTCTGCTTTGTCTTTGAACTCTGCGCCGAGCGTGTCGGACAGAGCACGCCGCACACTTTGCTGTCTTTGCCCTTTGCTCCTAGTAGTAAGGCCAGGAGCCCCTAGTAGCTTCTTGTTACTACTAGTAAGGCGCCTGTTACTACTAGCGATGCACTTGTTCCTAGTAGCTTCTTGTTACT